TCTTAAGTGATCGGTGTCCTCAAATTCATCCTCTGCGGCTGAATGATCAACATATTTAGACGTGTTTCCATGCTCGTTGATATGACTTGGATGTGTAATGCTAGGGGCTACTAAAAGTCTTCGTTGTTCTTTGCGAAACTCGATCTTGGCATACTTGGCTTGAGCCACGGCAATACCTGCAGCCCCGGAAAACCACTCAGAATCCTCTTTCAATGCTGGTATAGGTTTACAAGCTGATTCAGAGTTTGACGAATCTCGGTCGTCATCTGAAATAAAGTTTAGGCATTCTTCATCTGAGCTGATAATGCCCTCAGCCTCTTCTTCCGCTCTCCGTTGGGCTTGACGAATTTCCACAGCTTCTTGGCGAATTATCTAAAGTCAAGAAAGGGCGAGTTGATAGTGATAAGCCTAGAATAAAACCAGAGATAATATAAATAAGATGAATAGAGGTTATCAAAATCAATTCACCAAGAAAAATATATACATTATCTCATCATCGGACAAAAGAGAAGCCGATAAACGAGGGTTTGCACAACCGTAAGAATAAGCTAAAATGACTTACTCTTGCTGCTTGAGACCAAGCCTTACTAGCGAGTATCTGTCTTGCCTCCAGACCAATAGAGCTCTTTAAATCTGTATGTTGTCCAGCCAATGAACTGCCAAAAATAGGCTTTGGCCATTTTGGCAACGTTTGAGTGCATTGTTTTTGATTTGGAAGCGAGAGGCTGGTTGTGGCAAACAGAGCAGTTTCGAGCTCAAGAAAGTTTGCGCCAGTGTCTCGAGTCACCAATGTCACTGCTAGGCCAGACCGACCTGCACGGGCGGTACGCCCGACACGATGCAGATAAGACTTGACAGTAACTGGAACCTCGTAGTTGATTACCAAACTGACATCCGCAATGTCAAGGCCTCTGAAAAGAAATAAATTTTTTAATTTAAGAGATCGATAAACATTACAGTAGTGGTTCACTTTATTTGTACGCCAAGAAATTCAAATTTTTAAAACTCAGAAGAATATAGTTACTCACAAAAATTCACTCATAAAGATATGTTAGAAATTTAAATAAATAAATAAAAATTATCTTTTAAATCATCCTACAAATATGAAGCTAAGTGGTAAAATGCTAGACAAATGCTCTCGCGAGGCGTAATAGCATTACAGATTTTCATCATACTTTGACATCCCATAGTTATGCTGATTTGTTTAACTATTGACCACATTGAATGAGAATTTCATCAAGTTAAGATAATCGTTCCATTAGGGCTACGCAATATGCATCCATATATCGGAACTGGCAGATCATATGAAGAAAGAAGATAAGTTCAAGTAAGCTCGGATTTGTACACAGTAGCATAAGAAACACAATCAAGAAAGAATTAAAAATTATATATGAATATAAGGGTGAAAAATAGGGATTACTAAAAGAAAAAAGAAGCGTGTATAGGCTAGGCCACAGTTTAAGTTGTCAGTCAGCTCAAAAGTTAAAGTAACTATATTAACATATATGAAATACCAAATTGGAGAGAGTTCCAGTCACATAGATCTTAATCAGACAGTTATAATGAATTCGATAGAGGATGTCCGACATCTTGCATAACTGCCTCTCAGTGAAGATGATTAACCTACAATGAATATAAATCATGTCGGGATTAGGCGTACGCACGGCCAACGTTATAGATAAATATAAGTGAGTTGACCTCGTTGTCACAAATTGGTCTTGTTGTCAGGGCAACTTAGTAGAACGCACTTAGTCCGAAGTAGTTTGCTATAGTGGTTGTCATGACTCCCAGCATCAGACAGTGAACTTGGTACATTCTCAAACGTTTCATCGTCATCGTAGTCGGCATCATCGGTGAGTTTTGACATTCTCCGCACCAAGCTACGAACTCGTCAGAGACAAGTAAAGTCCATTCCACGACAAACGTTCTGCCGAAAACGGTTACACTATCACTCTTTTTCTATCCTGGCCTATCTATCTACTATTTGCCCTCTTATCCAACTTCCGCCCTATCACAACTTCTCATATGTTTAAATTCCACTCGTCAAAATGTGTGCTCTTTTGTGACAAATCTATTGTGGCCTAATCACACTTGCTATTCACCCCGACCCCCTTCTCTTTCGATTAACTAATCCGACTCAGGCCTCCAACCCGGATCCCCTCATTGTTTCGTAGATCCGTTCCTCTATATCCATTGTGAAGTAGATGGCAGAACGGGGACTATTAAAGAACATCAAGAACGATGAAGGATTTACAAAAGTGGATATGCCTACATTCCTGCAAACTAACTCAAAATTACGGCAATTATTGAGGAAATGGAATATTCGGGTGGCCATGAAAGAAAATTAACACTTTTAACAAGTCTACGGACGCAATATGAAAGAGTGGACAAATAGGATTGTTCAGGAATTTACTGTATATGATGTGGCACCTGCGAACAGAAATATATTGGCGAAACGGAGAGAAAAATTAGCATACGAATCAAGGAACATTAAAGGCTCTGCAGCAAAATAGATACCGAAAGATCAGAACTAGCGGAAAACATCGCATAGACTGGATACGAGATGAGAAATAGCTCCTGGGGTGAAATGTACACTGGGACTGAAATCGAGGGAAATCAATCAATCAGAAGGATAAGGAACGGATCTACGAAACCATAAGGGGATCCGGATTGTAGGCCCGAGTCGGATTAGCCGATGGAAAGAGAGGGGATCGGAGTGAATAACAAGTGTGATGGGGCCAAACTAGATCTGCCACAAAATGACACATTTTGACGAGTGAAATTTATACAAGTGAGAAGTTGTGATAAGGCGGGAGTTGGATAAGAGGGTAAAGAGTAGATAGATAGACCATGACAGAAAGAGGAGTGATAGTGTAACCGTTTTCGGCAGAACGTTTTTCGAGGGATTGACTTCACTTGTCTATGACGAATTCGTAGCTTGGTGCGGAGAATGGCAAAACTCACTGATGATGCCGACTACGTGAATGACGAAACGTTTGAGAATGTACCAAGTCCACTGTCTGATGCTGGGAATCATGACAACTACTATGGCAGACGAAGCGTTTGAGAATGTACCAAGTCCACTGTCTGATGCTGGGAATCATGACAACTACTATGGCAGACGACTTCAGACGAAGTGCGTTTTACAGAATCGCCCTGACAATAGATCAAAGCTTGCCATATTGTTACGCAGGCCCCCCTTCTTATCACAGTCTCTCTCTTGCCCCGTAAGATCGGTCTGCTCTCTCCTTGGTTCACACATTTCACTCGATCTCTGCCACCCCATCTGTACTACTCGAGGCGTTATTCGCCCTCTCCTGCGTCTGAGTAACTAATTTGAGACTAAAGCCTCTGAGTAAGTCTCATGGTCACGTCTTTGCCACAAGGAC